ATATATATATATATATATATATAGTATATTAGATATATTATTATATATATTATTATATATATATTTTTATTTATATTATATATATAATATGTAATACTAATATATCTACTATACTATATATATATAGATAGATATATTATCTTTTATCTATTATAAGATGCACAGTCTACCACTTACGTACACAATAATACACAACAATCGTATAAAAAGAGCTTCTGGTCTACCATTTAATCCCATCTGTGTATTGCTGCTGACAATTATATGAAATGTTTTAACATTGAACATACCGTTTTCCATGCTTTTATCAGCTAACAAGCCTTGCAATTTTATAAGCTTATAAGCAAAAACGCTTTCATGAGCGTCTTTATTATCTCAATAATCCTGAGACAGAAAATTGCAAACCGATCACATTCAACTGGCGACGGTACGTTCAGTGTTAATAAATTAAAGGTTGAAAATGTGATCGTTAAAATACTTTGACAGGCTTCGACATAGCCAGGTCTTTCTTATTAACTTGTTTCTCTCCAAAGAGTATAAGATCGTAACGTCAGCTAACTATAAATATTCAGAGCACTCTCTTCGGATTTATACATAGAATATACAGTGCACAGGTTATTCCAATTAATTTTCATCGATCAATAATCGCGAATGATGCGGTTAATATTTCAGATCGGTATCTTTGGATTCGGTGCAGCCACGACAGTCTTAGTCACGGACTTCGGGAAATACACGATCGGTCGCCTAAGACCTCACTTTATGGATCTCTGTAAGCCTGCTATCAATTGTACCGCAATTGCAAATCATCACCGGTACTTCGAAGACTTTACCTGCTCAGCTAACATCTCGTCGAGACTTTTGAAAGAAGTCAGGTATGTATATTTTTAATCATTTTCTTCAAAAGCGTATTCAGCTAGTTCAAAGATTGAATAATAATAATAATAATAATAATAATAATAATAATAATAATAATAATAATAATAATAATAATAATAATAATAATAATAATAATAATAATAATAATAATAATAATAATAATGAGAGTATTAAATCGTGACAACAATGGTAGAATCTGTTCGATTTTTGTAGGATATATTGCACAATTATTGCGTCTCCGATTATATTCTCGTTACAAACACAGCACATTTTTGTTATTCAATCTTTTCATTTTTCATATGAATGGGAAAATGTTCGAAATGATGACCGTAAACCTAGTGTAATATACAAGTAGTATAGCGTAACCCATAATATGTTAACTATATTAAACAACAGATCTTCATGCAGGATAAAATGTGTCTGTATCATCTGCAAAGGCATAGGTGCCAAAGTTTTTTCTTTCCTTAATAATTTTAATATGTCCATGACACATTTTCAGTGTCCTTCAATCTCTTCACCGTTTTATATTACACCTACACATTTTTGTCACAAATGCATCAAATCTGTTGTTTAATTACGACGTATTTGTTTAGTTAGAAAAAAAAACGGAGTTCCATACTTTTGACGGATAATGTCCGGTCAGTGATGCGTACCCCAGGTCATCCATTCACTGTTGCGTTAGCAAGGACAGTTTCATTTATAAACAGATTTCAGGAAATGCCGATAAAAGCTCACAGAGAATTCATTCATATCGAGTCGCCCTCCAGCCTTCTGCTTGGTCGGCGAAGGGACGCGTAACCAGCACAGCGTATCCGAATGTTCCGGAGCCGATCTACTACGTGTATGTAGATATAGAATACGACATTAGCTCTTCCATTCATTAGCTCTGTGAAACCCTTCACTCGGTTATTACTTGAGATTAAGCTGGCCAGGAGTCGCTTCGTTTAATATTATTCCACTTTTATTTCAAACATATCTGTGTCTCGTTTTTTAGAAGCTAGAAAGTCGATTTTTATTATATATTTATACATTTTTATACATGTATATTTATATTATATTTTATATATATATTATATAATAATATAAATATATATATATATATAAAATATAATATAATAATATAAATATATATATAAAATATAATATAATAATATAAATAATATATATATAAAATATAATATAAATGTTAATACAATATACACAAATAAACTAATATATATGTTTATTATGCTAGTTATACTAGTAATATATATGTTTCACATTCATTATTTCATAATCAGTAAAATCATAAAGTTGCTTCCATTAGAAATTGTTGAATATATTTCTTTATTCAGGCACCCATTGTTATAAAAATCGTGAGAAATTTCAATAAATTCNATTTATATTATATTTTATATATATATTATATAATAATATAAATATATATATATATATAAAATATAATATAATAATATAAATATATATATAAAATATAATATAATAATATAAATATATATATAAAATATAATATAATAATATAAATATATATATAAAATATAATATAATAATATAAATAATATATATATAAAATATAATATAAATGTTAATACAATATACACAAATAAACTAATATATATGTTTATTATGCTAGTTATACTAGTAATATATATGTTTCACATTCATTATTTCATAATCAGTAAAATCATAAAGTTGCTTCCATTAGAAATTGTTGAATATATTTCTTTATTCAGGCACCCATTGTTATAAAAATCGTGAGAAATTTCAATAAATTCTATCTTGTAATTTCATTCCCAGTAACAGCAAAATTAAAAAAAGAAAGAATATATCAGTCATCATCAGTCTCTCTACAATCTGAAAAAAATTCAAGTCATTTAGTTCGATTTTAAAGTAGTAATTGCGTAATTGCGTACATCTCTTAAGATGTACGATCACTTTTATGGACCTCTGTACACCTGAGGACATGATAAAATTTCAGTTCGAGTAAAATGATTTCGCTACGAAATACACAAGAATTCGCAGCATCATTTTGCGTCACACGGGCCGAATTTACGCGCAAGGCTTAAGGAGACGCTCTGTACAATGTCTCGTACTATTCTTACCGAGTGTATCACTTACCATTCGCTAGCTGCATCAAACAGCGCTTCACGTGGTCCGCTTTGTATACGACTCCGTTCTAAAAACAAAACCGTGTCGACCAGACAAATCCAACGAAAGCCTCCTCCACAATCAACGGAAGTTCTACAAAAGACGCGAAAAAAAGAAAAAGAAAGGAGAAAAAGAAGGTGGCACTTCGCGTACGCGGCACGCCGCGAAATTATGAATGATCTCAGCTCACAGCAGAGACATTTCGAAAATTAGAAGACCATCCAGCGGGAGCGTGGCCAAAGAATTGAATGTGCACGCGAGGCTGGGCGCGCTGAATCGACTGACAATGGTAGGTGAAAAACGCGCCCGTGAATCGTTAAATGATACACTGCCATTGTAGTTAGAGCTAGAGTGACAATGAGTAGGGTGTGTTCACGCTCACGGCTACAGTCCGGCCGTGTAATAATGTTTCCGTTGCCGAGGCGCGCAGGTCGAGCGAGCTCCTTGATTCAGATTCAATTCCGCTCATGCGAATCACCACCGGACCGCAGACCTTTCCTCATTGTCATTTGCTGCTACCGGCGGCCCTTTTTTTCCCTCGTATCCGTTGGAACCGGCTCGAGGTACTGTCTCGGCTAACAGTCGACAAAAATTCCGTTTGCATCGTGAATCCCCAGTCCGAATGAAGGATTGATCGATCGATGGATAACGATCGACGAATCTTATCGAGGTTTCGTACCAACGATTCGTGCAACCAGGACTTGGCGTTGTTTGAATGTACGTTGCCTGACAAATATGTACTACTGTGATCAAAAAGTAAGGTGAATTTGTTTATAAAATGTAAATTCTTTATTTATTCTTCCAAATCAATTTCATCCCCTTCAAAGTAATCCCCGTCCGATAAAACGCACTGTTTCCGACGCTTTTCCCAGTCCTCGAAACAGTCGGAATAGTCTTTTTCCGGTATAGCCTTCAAGACCTTCTTCGATTCGGTTTTTATCTCCTCAATCGTGTCAAAACGGCGTCCCCGCATTGGCTTTTTGAGTTTGCTGAATAACCAGAAGTCGTACGGAGCCAAATCAGGCGAATACGGTGGTTGCGGAACGATATGAGTCGAGTTTTTGGCAAAAAAGTCGCGAAGAACCAATGCAGTACGACATGGCACCAATCGAGACTTGACGCGTTTGAGACACAAAACATCCTTCAAAATGGTTTGGACTGAGCCAAATGATATTCCAACACTATCAGCGAGGTCTCT